TGCCAGGCTAAACAAGCCCAACCCCTATGATCACCAGGCGCTCCAGCCTCTAGACCACATTGATGTTCCTCAGCTGGACTTGCTCCAACATGTCCTTGTCCTTCTTGTCCCCGGTGAGTCCGGAGCTGCACAGGCAGGAGGGCTGAATAGAGGGGAGTAGCCCATAAGCTTCAGGAAGGAAAGGGGGCATGGAAGAAGAGAAGGAAGACTGTTCAAGGCATGACATGTTGGCATAACTGATAAAGAGAAAACAGTTACTGTACAGCATACAGTATTTTTAATTAATCTGTTCTGTTCATTGTCATGAACAGAGACTAAAGCTGCAAACGTTAAATAATGTGTTGCAGTTTTCCAGTGGTGGTAGCTATGAGACATAACAGGCCATTTTAACTGATAAATGTCTCACATTTGCTTCAGTTTGGCAGCTGTAAAAACAGTATTACTGGAGGTATTTATCAGTTTTAGATACTTCTGCTTATCCCAGACAGGAACACTTCTTTCATGATCAATACTGGAGTTCTGTTAACTTATGTCTTTATTTTGCTCAGAGACCAACAATTCTGGTGAAGTTTGTGGCAGAAGCCTCTGGATAGGTGCCTTCTCTCATGGAAAAAGTTACAGCTTTTGTTTTCTCCTTTCTGGTATTTCCTGAGCATCTGAAACTTTTCTACTTTCGTTATAGCTGAAGCGAAAAAATCCATCTCCTTCAGTATTTTTAACTTAAGAACTTTGCAGAACATTCTATGAAAATGAGATGCAGAAAGTATCTTATTTCTTCTCTGTCCTATTTTTATTGTTTTGTTCAATATTTAATACTATACATGTAATCTTGGTAGTGACTCAGAAGATAACTAACTTGAGGCTGGTTAAAGAGGTCAAGTTATTTGAGGCATATTGCCTTCTGAGGCGAAGGATCAACGGGTATCTTAAAGTGAGCACCTAGAAATGTTATGTTCCTAAAACTTTAGCAACTCTTGAAAATCCAGTGAGTAGCTTGCATCACTCCAGGGAGGAATAAATATGGGTTGCACAAAGAAAAGGTACAGCAGTCATGAACTAAACCTTCAAGACATCCTGAATTGCCTATACAGGAATGAAAGACAGTGGAAGTCAAACTGGGCACTAAACTACTCTGTACAAACAGTTCAGAAACAAAAAGCAGGTTTCAAGGATGAAGAAATTCAGAACAACAAAGCTGACTCAGAAGTGAAATGGGGAGCAGCATCTGGGTGACAGCTCCAACTGGTCTTGCTGTGCTTCCTCATCAAAAAAAACTCCACCAATAATTTATCACTAAGGGCTTTCTACATCTCCAAGCTTACAGAACAGATTTTTGAAGGAAGGTAAGACTATAAATTCAACCTCACTCAATTCAGTGGCAAAACATAGCTGTTCTTACAGGAGGCAGGATTTGACTTTCCATTTCAGAATCCCTCTGAGATGCAGTTTGTCACAAGTAGCTCAACAATATGTCATGCATGACACAAAAGAACAAAAACAATTAGAAGGAATCACAGAATCACAGAGTGGCAGGGGTTGGAAGGGATCTCTGGAGATCATCTAGTGCAACCCCCCTGCTAAAGCAGGACCACCCAGAGTAGGTCACACAGGACCGCACCCAGACGGGTTTGAATATCTCCAGTGAAGGAGACTCCACAGCCTCCCTGGGCAGCCTGTTCCAGTGCTCTGGAAACATATTAAACAAACAGGACAGGAAAATAACTCAATGAAAATGCAACTGAGCATTTCTTTTGAGAGGCAAATAGTGTACCAGCACTAAAAACCCTGTCTATTTTTTTACCTGAACGTCACCTAAGAAATGTTCAGATGCGGAGAAGCCTTCAAGAGAATTTCCTTTCATTACCATCTCTTTTTCTAGAGCATGAAAATGATGGCTGTGCATCTTTTAACCAGTTGGTCAAGGCAAAAGTTTGAGATCTCCTGCAGAATACTGAAGAAAAGCCTTTATTGAAAGCTGTGGGGTTTTGATGGCCATAAACCAGTCTGATCTTTTTGACTTTGAAGAAGATAAATACAACTACCTTCATATCAGTACAGTATGTTCAATGGGCCACCTAAAGTAAAATGACACAGAAGGTATTCACTCTTATATTAAAAACCTGACATGAAAATAATTAGCATTTTCACAGTGCAACATCTTCCCAAAATGTTTTCCCATTTGTAACTTTGGTCTGAGTTGCAGTCATAAAATATCAGCACACTATTTCACTTCATAAAGGTATTGGACAACCTCAAGGACTATGTGACTCCTTTAAGGTGTTTTCCACAGTGGAATTTATTTTGGAAACTTGCAAACAAGAATTATTGCATTTAAGATCTATGTAGATCGATCGAGTTATCACTAGTTATCACCATTTTTTTTGTACCGAAAGGGGCCTTCATGGGAACAGAGATCAACTGTTATGCTGCTGTTTGAAACTTCATGTCTAGCAAAATCAGTCACTGTCCCTTTATCTTCTTCTTTTATAAGCATTTCCATGCAGTCAGTGCTAGGGCATTCAAAAGACTATCGCAAAACCACAATGGAAGAAAAAATGAAGGGAGGCAGTCTTTCAAATAAGGCTCTTTACATGCTGTCCTTCACTCCATTTTTTCCTATTACTTCGGTGAGATCTCAGCAGTGATGCATTACCATAATATTTAGCCTTCATAAAACAGTAACACTGTCAGGGTATTTGTGCAATTTCCCTATGCATACTATCAGGAACGCAATGAGCTTGCTCTCTGAGCAAATGTTTGCAAGACACAGAAAGACCGTCTTCATTAAGGTCCTCTCTGCAATGCTCAGTCCTCAGATAAGCAGCAGCCCTTTCCCACCTGCTTGTTTGTATCCACTGGTTTTGCCAAAATGAGAGAAAATTCTTATACAATTAAAGCTGAGGTTTTAAACAATTTCCTTCTTTAAAACTGCCAGACTGTGTAAACTGCTCAGTTGTGCATGAGATAGTCAGGAACTCAAACTTGTTTGTATCTGCTTTGCATCTGTATTTCTCCAGGGTCTGCTTGGCTTAGCTTTGTAACAACTTTCCCAGAAGTGTCATCAGGACCCCCCACCCCCGAGAGTCATTCCCCCGAGAATTCCTAGAAATGAGTTGTTCTTCCTTGTTGGCCTCCATTAGTAAACACTCATTTATATGCTGCCCAAACATTTCAAGTATTTTCTCCATATTTTGTATGAACCAGTGAAAGTCCTTTTTATTTCAAAATGCACTGCAGGAAGGAGTCTGTCAAACATTGTGGCACAGGTGAAAGAACTGTTGACCAGGTCTGGTGATTATGGGGATTTTTTTATGAAATACAAACACTTATCAGCACTTATCTCAACTTCAGAGGTGGTCATGACTCATACTTTGTGATTCTGTGCCTGTAGGAAGTATAAATCCTAAAGCTGGTATCCATCCTGAAGATCTGTGAGCAGAATTTTGTCATTAAAATGTACGGACTACCAATAAGCTTAGGTTTTAGTGAATGTTTAAATATTTCAGGCTGCCAGATAATCCAATAGCAGCATCTCTATTAAGATTGATATTAATAAAGAACAGGCATGGTTGGCAGGCATTGGGTGTATTTTGTGAAGAAATAGAAAAATAATTCAAAATATGTGCTTTAAATAAGGTAAAACTTTCTCTTTGGAGAACAGAAGGGAACCTTTTTATGATGATTTGGGCATCTGTTTAAGCTTGTCCTAGGGACACATTTAATGCCAGGAAAAGACGGATGGGAGATCAATGCAAGATGTTGATATTTTTAAATACAATTCAGAGAAACATTTTAATCACTTCTCCAAATTCCTACCAGAATCTTTTTTTCTGCCAGACACACACATTTCTTCATTGCACATTAAGTCGCAGGACATGTTTTTTATTTTTAACTCTCCGCAATTAGAAGAAAACATAAAGAGTCAGTCAATGGCTTTCATTCTCCTTTAAGTGTTCCTCAGTTCAGCCCAGAATCATTCTCTTACAGTCTGAAAGTCATATGGCTGTAATCAGGATCACTCTTTGAAATGCCATTTGTTTGGATTTCGTTTCACTGATAACCAGTCAGGCAGTCTATGGAGTTGTTGTATAATTTCCCTTTGTGGACACTAAAATTTGTCATATAGCTTCCAGGGCGGAGTAAAATTCCTTGACCAGGAAGCCTGCCTGCACGTCTGGCTTCACTTCTGTGGCAGATGTCTCGCACCATCTTAAGAAACGGCTTTCCAGCTTTCCCAATGAAGTCAAAAGGATTTGCTCCAGGTCCTATAGCGATTGCTGTTTCTACTCTTCTAAGACAGACCTTGGTTAAGATACTGGAGATAGGAAGGATCACGACCAGGCCACTCTCCCCTCCTCAGTTACCAAGTAATTCTTCTCATCCACTGCAGTTTTCTTGTTCTTTTCCAAATCACCCTTGTCACCCTCTCTAGGTAAAGCTACATCACAGCAACCGCTGTGATCAAAGCTTGCGCAGACGCAGACGGCCTCCTGAGCAGATAGTAGCCAGCTCACGTACAGTCCCAGCAGGATGGAGCTCAGCAAATGCCCGACACCCACTTCCTCAAGCAAGCTATTTGCTAATACTGGACTCCGTGCTGCCATGGCTACAATGCTCACAGCACACGAGGAATTAAAAATTTGTGTAGCTTTAGGCAGTCACAGCAGTTCAAGTAGTTCCTCAGGTGGAAAGTTTCTCTCTGCAGCTTCAGACAGCAACTGAAGCTCAAAGCCTCTCTTTCATTTTCTTCACCAAATGCCTTGCAGACTGAATTCTTTATTCATACGTCATTCAAGTCTTATTCATACCTCAGACAGAGGAAGCCTCTCCTGTTTCATCCACTCACCTCTAGATACCACAGCCCAAACACCTATTTTAAGGCTATTCCCATTCTAGCTGATTTTTGGTACCTGGCATTTCCAAATGATTGAGCAAATAACACTAAGGGAATACACACACATCAGTCTAACCGTGCCTTTCAAAAAATGAATAGACATATGTAAATTTTCAGTAGTTTTATTGAAAAATGCCTCTTTCATTTCAGAAATAAATAATATAAGGCAGTGAAATTCACAATTTGCAGTTAAAATATAAAAGCAGCAATTCTATATCCATAGTCTTGCAAACAATTTCCAACTGCTTTTGATAACTAAGAAACATTGTATTCTGAAAACAAAATTCCATACTAAATATACAACATAAACATGCAATTCCATCTCTGCAGGATTGACTGCGATTTGGCATAAATGTTACTGTGTCTACAAACAAAGAGATTTCAGGCATTATTAAACTGTATCCAGTTGATACAATGATGTCAGCTACTTAATGTTTGTGGTGTTTAAAGGAGATGTATAAGAGCAGTATATGCTCTGCAAAGTGTAACTAAGAATAGAAGAAAATGACAATGATATTGGAAGGAGAGGGAATTTTTTGGTTGTTTCTTTTTTAACTAGATAATGCAGACCTGTGAGCTGACTGAACGGCAAACATGCATATGAAAAAGAGGAAAAATGTAGAGCTAAAGCAGACAGTCCTTAGAAAATTCGCAGCAGCTCTGTGGTTATTTTTGTTTTGGTTTTTTGGTTTTCTTTTTTTTTATTTATTTGTTTTTACACTATTTTAATGAAAAGGCAGCACTGGGATAACTGAATGCACGTATTAACCTGTACGCAGCCACTATAAGCAAAAGTATTTTACAAGCGTTTCCAGAGCAGTCTGAAGTCTCTAGGTACACACGTTGCTATCCCCACACAAGCAAGATACAAAACAGGGGTGCGTCTTGATATGGAAAGACCAGAAAGCCGTATTGCAAAAGAAATGATGCACTCACCCTGTGTGTATCTGCAAATGCAAGCATAGCAAAACCAGAAACTGCCAACCAAAAAAACCAAAACAAGACACAGATCTTCTACGGTTTTGTTTTTGCTTTCCGTGACAGTGATCTTTTCCAGCGCATGTGCTCAGGGTATTCTGGTGAATGCATTTCAACGCCATAGTCCTCATACTCGTCCTCTCTCCTTTCTGACTCCATAGGTACTATAAAGGGTTCACCTTCAGGCTGATAGGGTCCACTTTCAGGCACGTATGGTTCTGGTTGAAAATAGTTGTCCGATTGAACATAATAATTATCGCATGTCTTTGAATCCACAAACACAATGAAAGTTAGTTTGTCTACAAAATGTTAGTCCAATCTTATTTCCATGTAATAAATATATAAATTAATAGTTCACTGGGGGTGTTTTTCAGTTTCATTCGTGAATACTTTTTGGCAGTAAAATAATAAAAAGCTTAAAATTCATGTTGAAAGGCTTTGTATTTATAATACACAAAACATCGCTGCAAGAGTGTCAAATTATGCAAGGGACCAGTTATTGTAAAACTAAGGAAAAAAAAACAAAACCAAAGCAAATCAAATACAAATATTATTTTACAGCTACTTCAGTAAATCCAAGCACTGGACTTCATTTTAAACTGAGTAATTAGAAGGCATGGAGCAGGTAGAATGAATGGGTGGGTTTGGCATATACTAATTTTCTCTGAGAATGGGAAAGTAATTGTAGACAGAACTATCACCAGCGGCAATATACAGTACATGTCATTGTCTCGTGCTGTTCCTCGTAACAAACCGAGTTACAGCTGGTGCTTCAGGAACACCAAAAACTACAGCAAAACAGAAGAAAAATAATTAAAACTTTGGTATTGATAACTGCAGTTACAGAATCCAACAAGATTACATATTAAAAAAAGGCACATGCCCCGATTCAGACATGTTGGTAACAAGCAACAGACAGGTAGGTTTCAGAAGTTGTCAAAGATGTTATTCCGGCATACAGCAAGCAGCAGCAGGCTTTTATGCAAAAGCGTCACGTAGAGTTGTTAACAGATTTTAGTGGATACGGTCCCATACAAATCATTTACAAGCCACAATTAGTTTACTATTTACATAAGTAATTTCTCATTTACCAGGTTAAATTTGTCTGTTCTAATGGCATTACCTTTGCTGGTTAGTAGTTTTATAAGCCTCCTTCACCACTGAGGATTTTGATCGACTGGGTCTTTTTTTAAAAAAGAAAGGCTGGCTGTTTTATTATTGAAATGCAACAGGCTTAATGAATTGACATCACTGTCCTTTATCTCATTCACGAGTTGTGTTAGTAAAAAGAATCTCCCCATTCTATGAGGCCAACATGGTTCAAAAACCATATCCGTGGTGAAATATCCATACAGACTCATTTTCTAATAAGCACGTGCGCAAACATCTCAGAAACAGGATTTTCACGTATTCAAACTGTAAGCAGCACTGGCGACTTAGAAAATGTGTTAGCCGAAACCTGAAACAGGTCAAAGATGATGTTAGTCTTTTAAAAAGTCCATCTAATGTGCAAAAACATACTTTCATCCAACTAAATACATAACAGTTAAGTCACAGGCATATATTTATATATGTATACATAGCTGCTTACTAGAAAGGAGAACACTGCTGAATCACAGGTACAATTTTCTTTCTTTTTCATTCAAATAAGAATTTTGTGTGAGATCTGCACAACCACCTGGCTCTTTAACCAGCAGCACTGAGTCTGCAAGTGTGTACATATATATATATATATTTTATTTTTTCTTTTCTTTTCATGGGTACATGCACAATTCACTAACAGCAAACCACATCCAATAGTAGTATCACATACACTAATTTTGAGATGTTGCAATGCATACATATTAATTTGTTAACAATACTGTGGTCCTGCAGGATCCCCATGTTAAAATGCATTAGAATCTTTCCAGTCAGAAATTGGTGGCTGCTGTGACCCTTTGTTTCGATTCCAGAAGCAGCCTACTCTTTTGAGCTACATCACAGAGTGGAAGGCTGATATAACTCAGGGCTAATCAGAGACTCCATGGTGTTTAACTCGGTAGAAATTGTAGGACAGTGGTGTTTTTCAGTTGTCTGCACTGTATCACTGAATGGATTGCCATTGTGGAAAATTTTATTTCAGGTATCAATTTTGTATAAATAATCCTGACATTGCTCAAAAAGAGACACACGGAAATTGCCAACCACAGCATTCTTTTTATTTTTCAAGAGAAACATGGAGAATTCAACCTTGTTCTGAAGACGATTGGAAGGGGCAGGGATGGAGGGGAAAAAAGAAGAAGAAGAAAACGGTCACTTAAATCCTATGAGCAACATTATCAACTACTAACCGTCTATGTTTGAAAAAAAAAAAAAAAGACTAAAATATTTAGTTACTACTTCCTATTTAAAGCAAACCACACATAACATCAACTAAATCTGCAACAAAGTCCAAATGACTGCTCATGTTCCTGCACATAACAATGAGGCAGCCCTGCTCATTGCAACCATTTCCTCCTGATTCAGTATGTCCAGGCTAGCAGGACTGCCGCACGTAAAGCAGCTCAACATGAACAGCCACATCTGCGAAGGCTATTTAAGGCAAGTTAAGATGTTCATAACCTACCTGGGAATCCTTGGCCATTGTAAGGGATGCTAGAACACTGGGATGAATCACAATATCCTGGTGGTCCTGGGGGACCTCGAATACCCGCATTTCCAGGACGACCTGGTGGCCCTGGTGGTCCTCGTGATCCTGTGGAGCCTGGTGGACCAGTTCTAGATTCTCCTTGTGGACCTAATTTTAGAATCAAAAGGTTGGGAGGTTGTTTTCTTTAAGAGCTAGCTTGATATAACAGCTAACATTACTGTTGTCTAGAATACACAGACTAGGATATGTCTTTGGTGAGAAAACACTTGCACTTTGTTGCTACATGGGGCTCAACAGAAAGAAAAACGAAAGAAAACTAGAGATGTGACTCATCATTAGTTGCTTCCCCATGTGTGGCTTATTTAAGGATTTATTCACAGAAACTGATTTAGTAAGGTTTGAGCCAAGTAAGAAACATTAACGAATTCTCTGGTTTATTTCCCCTCTATGTAAGATACAAAGATCTCAAGGGAAACTACTAGATTAGACAAGCACGCTGGATTTCAATTAAAATATAGGAGTACATCAATCCTGCTACCCTGTAGCCCCAGGATAGATGAGGTAATGTTTTTTTTGGAACCGGTCTTATTATGGTTAGCAGAAAAGTAAAGCTTCAAGTAACTGGGGCTACAATCTGCTGCAAGCATCTTATGGGTCCTGCAACGAAAAACTGTGTTTAGCCTAGTTAACTACAAGCAGAAACAAATGATGCAGCTGATTTCTGCCAAGGCATCAGTGAAGAAAATTGTGTGATACAAAGACCAAAACCAATGGCCAAATCATCTGTCTCTATCATTTGGTGACTTTGCATGTGGGAGTATTTTGCGTCCGGGGTCAACTTGTAGCTCTGTAATTACAAGTTAAAAATGGATCGAGATACTGCAAAAGCATTATCTGATAACACTTACGAAAATATCCGTCAAATATTTGGACAACGCATTTTCCTGAAATACATTTTCACATAACCAAGCATGCCAGATGAGTAAATTACAAGCTAAAGATAAATACCTATTAGTCACATCCAAAATCCTGCTAAATTGCCCTTTTTTGGTAGGGGTTTCCAGTAAACTCTAATACATGTCAAAAACATGAAGTGGACAGAGTAAAGCATGTTCATTCACCATATGTAGTCTGGTTCCCTGTGAAGAAACGTACTTTTCTGCAACCTGATAAAACAAGAAATATTTACCAGGTGGTCCTGGCAAACCTCGTGGCCCTTGAGATCCAGTCCCTCTTTCGCCTTTCTCTCCAGGCATTCCTACAGAAATTTAAAAAAAAAAAAAAAAGGCAATAAAAACCAAAGGAAGGAAGGAAGGAAACCACATAAACAAATCTTTCTTCATGCTCTCTCATTGATATTAACATTTAGTTCCCATTATTTAATGTAACAAGGCTGGTCAAACCTTATTTTGTACAGATGTCCGAATGTGCATTTAGGGAAATAATTTGGGTATAAATATACTAACCTAAAAATAAAGTAAGATGCAGAGGCAATTTAGAGTGAATAAACTTTCTCAAACATAGAAAAGTCTTTGAGATACTTAAACCACCACAGAACATAATTATTTTAAACTACAAACAGGAAGGTATTTTCAAGCTTTCATACTTCTGCTGTAAAGGAAGCTTTACACTTTCTTAGAAACAGTCACAATGAAATAAGTTTAAGAGCAGAATTCAGAAATTCATTCTTCCTTAATTTTTTCTAGTCTTTTTTAAAGATTATACTAAAATATATGCTAGAAAACACAGCACTGAGTCTACGCTACAGTAGAATAGCTGGAATAAGCAAAGGCCACAACATCATACAGCACAGACACTCCTAATCAGAGTTCTGTTCTGTGAAGAGTTGTGTTACTCCAAACAGCCTTTCAAGATGTAGCTGTTTAGTGCCAAAAGGATTCTGAGAACATTCACTTTCCTGGGATATCCTGTGGAAGCCTGAGACAGCAGCCAAAATGTTATACCAACTTGTGTTTCATGAAACATGAGCAAGGGAGAGGCAGAGGAAGCACTGATGTAATTAACTTTGTCCTCCAGAACATCAGTGTCCCGCAGGGAATCCAACTGACCTAACAGGCTAGTGCTAGTGTGGGCTTCCTAGTTCGACATGGGAAAGGGATCAGACTGCTCCTCTAGCAGCCGCTGCCCTATGTCCACTGTGAAAAATACAGCTGCCTTGGAATTTACTCACCTCTTTCACCGGGTGGTCCTTGGACCCCGGGAGGTCCTGGGAATCCTGGTCTTCCTCCAGGTCCAGGCTCTCCTCTTGTCCCAGCAGCTCCTGGGGGACCAGGTGGTCCTGGTGGCCCTGGCTGGTTACGGTTTGAGTAATAATCGTTGGGGATTTGATTCAGCATTTGATTGAACCGGCTCATTTGACCTTCAAAAGGAAAGAAAAATAGTTCAATAAACCATGTGAAATGAGTGAAAGTCTTTTATCACAGTGGGAAGGAATAACAAATTATCTCTCTTCATTAAATCCTATCCTTGGCCTCATTCAACAAATTAATGTTGAACTAGTACAGATGAATGAGGAAGATTTAAGATGAATGTCTCATAAGAAGGCCGAACGTAAATGGAGGACGGAGGGATGAAAGGTAAGGGGGATTCTGGAAGCCAATAACAATAACAAAAATTAATTTTAAAGCAATTGAAGTCACGAAATAAGCATTGGTTTTACTCTTAAGAACAGTAAGGACTTGTTACACTTCTAAAAGTGGAGCATTACATTTCTACGTACTTTCAGAGCTCTGAAGCTACCACAAACACTACATAAATTATTCATGTATAGAGCTAGCAGCACACAGTCTATGAAGTTGCTTTCTTGAGCCTGTAGGCTGCATAAGCTTGTTCCTCTATACCTTCTGCATATAGGCAACTTTCATTTCCAAAGAAAGGCGTCTGAACAAAAGCAACAGCATTGTGAAACTATGCAGAAAGGAGTCCGTAATGGGGGGCCACATCTAGCCCTACCTGATTAGTGTAATGTGCCAGTCCTAGCATAACCCTGAAGAGATAAGCTGAATATGAAATAAAATAAGGCATGGATGTTCAAAAAAGATGCTAAAAGATCTCCGATAACACATCCTTATTCATAAGCCTAATACATTCATGAATGTACTTTCCTTCCTCTGCAATGGCTAATAGACGTGTTTTAAACAGCAGCCATCACAGACATTTTAAAGGACATACTGTGCTCCTCCCTGTACACAAGCATGCTCAATGATCCAAAAGGTATATCCGTTTACCTCAATCAGCACTTACTCTTGCTGTAGAAACAACATTAAGAACAATTTATGGGCATATTTGTCTCTGTCCTCCTTGGCAGGTTTACTGAGAGCAAAAGCACTGCCCCAGGGACAGACAGAAAGCCTCTGTTGAGAACACTTTCATAGGTTGCAGAGCCGCACTGCGTAGCAGTAGAGGACTGAAAAATCAATTTGGAGTCCTTCTCCAAACAAATACCGTTTTTACTTGCATAGCACGGCTGATTCTGTGCACAGTATTTACCCAACACTCATCTGTCTTTTCCTGCTAGCAAAGTACCTGCAGTGAGCATCCTTTTTCTCACTGATTCCCTCCTCCTGAAGATAACATACATTTAATGAGAAAATGTACACTGATTTTATGACAGAAGTAATTTTGGACCAGACTGACAAAAGGAGAGTCACCTTCCTTGTACAGAGCATTAGACTTGCATGTGTATTTCCAAAGGTCACAGCTTATTTCATGATCAAGCAGCCATCTGGATCTGGTAAAAATTTAGTGCTACGTTTTTTTCCATCAAATCATTGGCTTTGGACAGCTATCAGCTCACTAAGCTCTCACTATGCTCTGTGGCCATTATCCCTCACCTTAAATTTAAACCATTGTTATCTCTTTTAACAAAAAAAAAGTAGTAAATTACTAGTACGAGAAACATAGCAAGCAACACTGTTTACCATTTATCAGTTGTTCACAAACTTGTCTTGCAACTGCTCGCATCATGTTCTGAGAAGCAATGTCACCCTAAATAACCAAAACCAAAACAAGTGTTTTATTAGCAAGTGTCTGTGCTTTTGAAGACATAGTGTTTAATTAAAAAGTCTGGAAAAAAAAAAAAAAAACTGTAAAGCAGACTTACTCTGTCACCTTTTTCTCCCTTCATTCCAGGTGCACCCTAAAATAAATACAGTAAAAATAAAACAACTGAAGGATTACATTATTCCACCCCATCTATAGGTTTGAGATGTGCAATTCTAGAAATCATTTTAACTCCTTCACGAAGACAGATCTGGCTCTCCTCAAACTTTACATTTCAGAGATGCTAAAGCAGGTGCCAGAAAAGACTGGATAAGCAATGATCTTTTGTGTATGAACAAACACGTCAGACGCAGAAGAAAAAGATCTGAAGGAAAAATTCAAACTGAGGCCAAAGAAATGGACGAATGCTAACGCTGGGACCACACTGGCAATTTTACAGTAGAATTTCCAGCATCACATTTGTGTAAATGGTGAATAGTCTTGCATGAGTTATATGTGGCTGTTTAATTTTAAGTCTGAAGCCAACGCATCATTGAAGAAGGTAAGCTAGGAAGAATAACACATGTCTAGGAAGGGTAGCTCCTGTGTTAAGCAAAAAAGCACTAGGCAGGGATGACACACAAGACGGAGAAAGATGCCATTAAGTATTTATTCTGTTTATAACAACAGCTTCCCTGCTAATTCTCAACCATTTCTAGTCTTACAACAGTCTCACAGAAGTCTTAGTTTGAGCTGCTTTATAATTATTGACATTCACCAAGAGCTAATTTTTGTTTAACAGCAATTTCCATTTGCCTTTGAATACTCTAGTGGTCGTTGTGGGTCTTTTGATTTTCAGGAATATTATGTAAGAAGCCAACCAGAAGGACTGATTCTAATTTTTATATATGTATGCATCTATGGCTTGAAGAACATCAGGTACATCATAAACATGTTTTTAAATGCTGAACTGGAGATATGCACATAAAATCTACTCTGTAAACAAAATTTTGTGCATGTGCACCTCTCACACAACATTTTGAGATTTTAGCCTTATGTTTGCGTACCACTGCTAGCAAAGAAAAGCATCAAGAGAGAGCAAACCATACTTCCCAAAGAAAATGGAATTACAATGCTTGGTGTGATGGATTTGTAAAGATTTTCAAGATAGGCATCAATGATCTCAGAAGGATGTTTATAACTTGCTTTAGTCTATTTGACATCATTTTGGCGACAATAAAAATTGCAAATGCCCATTTTAAATAAGTAGAAAATGAAATTCAGTCATTTGTTTTAGCCACTACGTCACACTTTGAAAAATCTAAAAATCTGCAAAGTGTTTAAAAACTATTATTTTACTTTGGACATCAAAATACGAAAGAAAACAGAAAACAAAACTGCATTTACTGCAAGACCTGCTTAGGAAGCCATCATGAATTGCCCTTTCAATACTCTTGAATACTCACTGTGAAAAATGCCACATGTGTGCCAAATTCCAGAGCAGTACGAACAAAACTTTAGCTGCAACTACGGCTCCTGAAGCGGCCAGTGTGCATTTTACAGGTGACTTCAGTGGATGCAGAGTTAGAGTCCTTCTAAAAATCGATTGTAAGTTCACCTGCCAGAATGTGTCTGAAGAGCGCAGGAGCTTTGTTAAGTTAGCAAAAAGGGGCTAGCATGAGTTCAAATGGATTTTCAATTGTAGCCTAAATTACTATTTGAACATAAGGCATATTTCAAAGGTGAAAGACCAGTTTGGTCACCTGCTGCTCTGCATGGCTCCCCACATACATCCTAAGTGTTACTGCTTTTCACATCGTAGTATTTCCTTAAGGAGCCTGTTTATCATCATTAACAAAGCAAAGGCTAAGTGTGGGCCGCAGCTGTTTTTCATAACATTCCTACAGTACCCTCAATTAATTTCAACAACATGAGGCAACAAATCATTCCACTGAGGTCACAGTGGATACAATTGGAATGCAGTGGCACTGTTTCATAGACTTCTACCAAGGTTTTGGGCAAACAAATTCCCATTGGGGTATGTTGGGGTGTGAACTTAGTATGCTATCTGAGCGTACACCTATCCCATGACATGCCATAGAAAATATGAGGCAGCTCATCCATCGTTAAGTAGTTGGCATACGGCACATTTGCATCATCCATAACAGATCATTTATGCAAAATCAATTGTACAGACTCAAATGAAAGATTTTGAATGGTAATACCATAAATGTGCCACTGGAATAAATTATGACACCAATGAGACAGTTACTAATATGCACACAATACACCCATCAAACTGATGAATATTCTGTCCCTTCTGTCCTTCACTCTTTCATCTGTATCTTTTCTTACTCAGTGAAGTTCACAGGGAAAAGGTCTGTCTTTTACTTTTAGCTTAGCATAGACACATGCCAAAACAGACCATGGATTTGTAAATGCAATAACATAAACTGTAACAATTAAAACCATCAGGAAAATATGACATTTCTATCCATCATTCTCTAATAATTAACATTGTGATTAATGCTGATGTATTGAAGCTCTAGAAGAGATGTAATTGTACTCTCAATTCAACAGACATTAATATCTCAGCCATAAACTATCACACATATCTGAAATATCCATTGAATAGAATTGTGGGTTTTTTACTTGCACTAGTCTGTAACGTGAAAATCTGGGGGAAAAAGTATTAGCAAATTATTTGGTGTTTCTCTTTCTGTTTGAAACTTAGCAATTTTGCCTATTTTCTGAAAGCATATTGATTTGAAATTATCTGCTGTATAAATATTCATGATAGCTGTTCATTGTATTCTCATTCTTTCTAAGGCTTTTATAGTACAACCTTGTGTTGTTTTGACCAGAAGTAAATCATGCAGTATGTCTTCTTATTTATTCACCAGGTAAGTGCAAGTATCACAAATCAGATTTCTGGTCTACCATCCCAGCAATATTCTAATAATTACTTAAAATGCTATGTTCCAATGAATTCACTTGCTAGAGCATTCATATACCAGGACTATACACAGAAGAGAAAAAAACAAAGCAAATGTAAAATGTTCAAATCCTATACACTGTTTCTGGAAATACTTTTTGCTGACTAGTCAACAGAAGTTCTTCAGGCTGTCTTCAGCCACAAGCCATGTTATTAAAACAGGAAGGTGCTCTGGTAACAAAAGCACAACGTTGCTCCAACGTATCACCAGCTGAGGTCCCCCAGCTAGAAAAATGCTAAGGCCATTCCTTAATTATAAGCGATACACAGTCAATTTTACAATTCATTGAACTCAAATGAGCCTCACTCTCCAATTTTTGACCTTGCAAAGATACACTGATCCAGCCTTATGATTGGAAATCTATAGGCTATTCTGAACTAATTTTAAAATTTGAAGATTATAGACTGACTGGCCATGTTAACAACAAAGTTAATTTTCCACCTGGATATTTTTGAAATATGATTCCAAAAAAATAATTACATCTGCAACTACTGAGTTGCTATTTACATCTTCTTCCCACTTGGTTCCATTCTTCTTAAATTTCAGTTTGTTTTCTTTCAATAGAGAAAAAAGGTCAATTTAGCCAACTGCTTGCCAGCATTTTGAGACGCAGCAGCTGCTGCTGACATTCTGTTTTGTTGATATCCTGCAATGAGGGAGTCACTTGGGGTCAGTGTGAGGAAAAGCTAGTTTATGCTGTATGTGGGACTTTTCTGAGCTGTGGGATGCAGGCTGGGGCTGCAGCAAAGTTCTGCAGCTGAAGGAGGATGAAACAAAGGAAGTTTTGCTATTTTTACTTTAAAAAAATAGTATACTCAATTGTTTTCCCCAAAAGAATGTTTGCTCCCCACAAGAATCATCAGTTCATTGCTCCCAAAGCAGCGTCTTTTTGAAACTTCATCTAGGATGTCTGCACAGATGGATGCAAGTTCAGTAAACACATGGCAACAGAGAATGGAAAATGCTAAAAAACTGCATTTAACAACAAACATGTCCCTTATGTGCTCAGGATTACCCTCTAAAGGTTTTCACAGTCTAGTTGGTCCCGGAGGCATCAGTCTAACAGTACGTTATATATAAAACATAAATGCCTTGCACTATTTCCTGGGGAACTTCTAGATCAATAGTCAGACCCTGTTGTCACAGAGTCTGCTTTATAAACAAGACAGCTCTACCTTAAGGTGACTTAGTCTGCCTACCCATCCATTACCGTTTTCATTCTCACACCTATAAAACAACCGTACTGGAAATTTTGTTCTCTGATAGTCCAAGATCTTCTACTTTCCATTACATTTATTCACAGAAAACATATCCATTTCTTCTTGAGCCAATATCCTCTTTTACCTTAACAAGTCTTTCTTATCCTTGCTGGTTTTTACCCTATGATAAGTGTACAGACTACTACCAAATTCTTGCTCTCTGACCAAACAGACAGAGGACAGATCTTTTAGGCTCCTGTAGGATAGCCGGTGCTCAATTCTCCATAGATTACTGACTCATTTGTGTCCTTACTGTTCCTTTTTCAATCATTTTGTTACTACACTGAAAAAACACCTGCATTTCTCTTGGAAGTACTTATAGGTAGATTAAAAAGTCAAATATCCATGAAAATTCAGTTAACACTTCAAGTATCAACTTGTTCTAGTATAAGTATATGCTGAGGTAGAGAAATGTTTACAGCCACGTTCATGGTGTGGTCTGGCTCAGCTTAGCGAATTACTGGTATTTAACACATCAGGAAAGAGCTTCAATTTCACTGGTAATGTCTCCGCAACACCAAGGCATGTAACTGTATCTTTTGCTGGGGGCGTAACGTTCCTTGCTTTGTAGGGGTCTTTCACCTGACTTGCGCTGCATAGTACCAGCAATACAGATTGTTCAGGTAGAAGTAAAAATGGCAGGATCTGGTCAGATATTATTTACTCCTTGTATTTACCAGAGGCAACATGAAGCCTCATTATCTTTCTCCAGGACAGGAGGTTACAAATTCAGACAGGCCTGAACTATGCTTCATGACGCTGCAAGTTGCATTTGGCTGCCAGGCTGCACCTTTGGCAATTCTAATACTGGACATGAAGAAAAGCGCTGAAATTCTGTCCACCAGGAGTCTGA